TTCCCATGCATGTTGGGGCAAGTATTGGCTATCATATGGTATAAGAAACTTGACCGGGTCAGGTCAGGTCACGGAGCTATGACGTCACAAGAGGAACAGCGTCCGGTACTATTTTTGAAAAGCGCCCGAACCACTATTTTGCTAATTCTTGTCACCTCAATGGGAATATGCAGCAATATTAGCTTCTATAGGAAGCAAATGGACATCCCAAATCCAAAAACACAATCAGATTTCAAAAATTTAAATTTTGATTTTTCGAATTTCTGCCGCCGACTGTGACCTTGCCGACTTCCGGCGCTCCCAACGCGCCATTTTTAGAGCTAGGGAAACGAAATACATACCAAACGATAGAGAATTGATCAAGGAACACGATAGTGAAGGTTTCAAGTCGATATCTCCCACCGTTTTGCCGCAATCGCCGCGGAAAATTTGAAAAAGTCTATTTTTCCGAAAATTTGACCTTTGACCGGTCAAAAGTAGGTCAAATGTTGACCTAGGACCAAAAAATATACCACCAATCGCGAGATCTCGTTGAGAGCAATCCGTTGGTCCTTTCCGCTAAGCTCTACGACGCTCCGTTTTCAAACGCCAAGGGGGGGTCGCACCAACCCCCCCTGCATGGGCGAAGGTGGCAGATCGCCGTTTACGGGCGAGGGTTAAGGGATAGTTTGTTCACCTTTCACCTTCGCTGAGACGGTGAAGCCTCAGTCGTTCTTTTCCTTCATCACCAGTTACTAACAAGATCTACCAAATGTGTCAGCCAAGACAAATGGAGCATTGGCGCCTCAGCAAAAGTATCGAATCGTTCAAAATGGCATCGAGTCGTATCGCCTGCGAGTCGAGATGTCGGGCGACACGGGCGGGTGGCGTGGCGCGGCGGTCAGCTGCCTGAAACTGACAGACCGCCCCTACTGACAGCCTACCCCAGACTACAGTTCGCAAAAACTCTACACCGCCCAATCGAGCCCGAAAAACGCTAACGCGCGGCCTGAGCACATCACAATGGGATGAGCAAAAACCAGGAAGCGGGTGCTGCAGAGGCATGTCCGAGGTGAAATACGCGCTGTCAGAGAGTCGGCAGGATGGCCAAGAGCCAGGCTGGCTGAGAATACGGGCTCAGAATTCACAGCATGAACGCAGCAGCGAGCTAGGAAACACATACATAGTGTAGTTCGAGTTCCTCGCCTTGAAATATAACAACACATTTTTTTTTTTGATTTGACAAAATTCACTGCTTTTATTAGATATATTGACAGGACAGTGCTGTGCTGAAAATGGAATCAGTGCTGTGCTGAAATCTGTTCTGAAAATGGAATGACTGGTTACCATCAAATAGCTCCACGAGGCCATCGATGCAAGCTACCGTAATCTCCGTAAGGTCACGACTACGAGCCAGGTTGCCGTTCTCCCAGTGGGACGGGCGGGCTCGGTGGAAGGCCGTCCTGCTCCGGCCTGCGGCTGAGCTCACCGGCTCGGCACGCGGCCCGGCGGACATCGTAAACAGATACGGTAGTGCCGGCGGCGGCGGCACAGGCTAGACTCAGTCAGCCGGGAGGGCAGCCGCACGAGCCAGTGACGGCGAACCGCTCCGGGCGTGTGGATGATACGAGTTCGGCCCCTGCCCCGGCCGTCTGTGCTTCAGCTACGGCTCCTGGATACACCTTAGACGGCCGAATTCACCGCAGACCGAAGCCCAATCGGTGGACGGCCTCCAGTCCAAAAGACGGTGACAGGCTACGTCGACCTTCGCAAGCCAATGATCGTGCGGCAGAGGCTGTCCACCGCTAATACAACTCTGGTCACCTAAGTCTGGACCTCAGGCAACGGCAGCCACGCCGCACACACGTCAGATGCAGACCAGCGTCTCCACTACTCAGTACACAACTCCACCTCCCCTCCCTTTACATGCAACCTCCCCCTCTCCCGACAGACAGGTGAGGTAAAAACCGGACGGGGGCAGCTGCCAGCCCGGTATCGGCCCGCTCTGTATTCGGGGCGGACCGGACCGGGCGGAGTGCAGCAGAGATGTGCAGCCATCAGCACCGGCTGACAGAGGTGGTCGGCGCCCTACGCCAAAACATCCGGCGGACCGGTCACGTGCCGAACGGGCACCGCGAGCCGAGCGGAGAGGTCAATCGTGTCATTACCGACAGCATGGTGGTAGTGCGACTGTCATCAGACAGTGGCGCCGTAGTGTTACGGTCATCAGACAGTGTGGCGGCTGTGTCTCGACAGTAACATCCATAGCGGGAGCACCTGGCAGACTACCAGACTGCCGTGTCTTCCATAGGAGCAGTAACTGCCACCTGGCACACTCCCAGGACTTCAGTAATATCCATAGCAGCACTATCTGGCAGGCTGCAGTAATATCCATAGCAACACTACCTGGCAAACTGCCCAAATGTCGCCGCCACCACAGGCGCCATGACATCACGATAACCACTGAGACTCAATGCACGACACAGCGTCCTGAACTCAGTGCATTGGCACCAGGCAGATATGGTGGCGGGCACACCGAATGTATGCAGGCTACCTTGGTTATACATGCACCGGTTGAAATCGCGTCCCGTAACCAAAGCCAGCACATACGGGCAGGCAATACGTTCAGATGAGATCGGGTTCGACAAGGGGCCAGTTTGTTGAGCCCATAGAAGTCGTGCTCTGGCTTTCGGGAGTCGGGCGGGAGGTGCGCGGCGACTTGTGCACGAAGTGGACACGGTTCACCTGGAACCATCCCGGCATCAGCCTCCGGTTCGCGGCAATTCAGTGTACCGTACTTAGTCACACTAGTCAAATACACAGGAACGGTAGTACGGCGGGATCGGCAAGACGGCGCCAGAGAGCGAGAGTCAATATTTCAGCCACGGTCCCGGACCAAATACTCTGCTCACATGTCTCTGTCACTTGTCAGCATCCAGCTCCCGTGTCCTGACGTCAAGTCATCTGACATCCAGTCAAATGAGGTCTTAGGACCGGGACTCAAACGGCGAGGTGCAACGAAACAGGGCGATAGATAACCCAGCGTCAGGTGGCGGAATTATTATGTATATAGATGCCTAGACAAACATTAAGGCCACATTGGTAGCAGCCGAATAGATGTGGAACAAATTTAGCGACAGTGCTTTGGAAGAGGCTCGAGAACACTTCAGCCGTCTCCATACGGGTGTTCGCTGTGACAAAGCGTCCCACATTTCACGCCCGATGAGGTGACCTCACTGTCAGCAGAACAGTTCAGCGGGATACTAAATAAACCGCGGCCCCGGACTCGGCCCAGTTCAAACGTCATCAAAACTAATGGCAGTCATAGCTCAGCCGCAGACCCGAATTATACGCATCACCCGTCAACCATGCAGCGCCAAACACTAAACTTGTGGGAAGCTCCATCACACTTTCAAAGCCAAGTCTTCTAAAGCATACTACAAATCCCAATTTAGGTAGCTTGGTCCCTTTGTCTGCGTCTCCGTTTTGTCTTGCACCGTTTTAAAAAAGTTCATAACTTCGATTTCCCAGGGACTCACAATAAAGTCGCTAGTTCGCCGGTGCTCGTTTAACCATACAACAGCCTGGCTTGGGAGCTGTGCACTGTGCGGAAGGCAATCCAACACCATGACAACCTGTAGTCAATGGGGACCCGCCATGCCATGCAACCCGACGTCGTTTTAGCCAACACAATAACGACGCGGGTGAAGCTGCAGCTCCACCAAACACGGCCGCTGTGTCCACCCACCAGCAGGCGATCTGCGGACGGGTCCGCCATCGCGCCTAGCGGGGGTGGGAAGGGGAGCAGAGAGCGGGGGAGGAGAGGGGCGGTCAGCGGCACCGCACCACTACAAATGATCCACCGGACGTGCCCGCCACACCCCTCCCCTACCCACCGCGCCCCTCTCGCGTCACGACCGGCCACGACCACAGCCGCGTGACATCAGGGGCGGCCCGGCGCCGGTCACGGTCCGAAAACAGACGAGAACAGGGAGCAGCCGCCACCCACACAGGCGGCCGCCGTACGCTGTCCGTCACAGCCCGTGACGAGCGTCACACGGTGCGTTACGGCTGGTGATTGACGGCAGTACGGCGCGGCGAGGGTGGTTACACAGCGGAGGGGAGGGACGGCGACTCATGTCCCCTCCACCACCCATTACACCGTCAAGGCACACACCGTCACGGCACATCGGAACCGTTACGGCAGCGCCGACAGTCACGCCGTCACGGCCAGCGACTGTCCGCCGACACCCGTCAGCGCAGACAGGTGGATCAGGGAGCACTGAAGCACACCGGCGAGTTACGAAGTGAAACTTCACACGGTGATCTACGAGTGGCTCCAGAGGAGATGAAATAAAACTGAACTTAGCGTGAGCTGTCTCCGTCTTTCAAGGAACAGGGAGCGAGTGAGTTGGAATATTAAAGGGACTATCCCACCTTTAACATGGGGTATGAGTTGAGATAGCCAAGTTTGCGGCGAGGTTCAGAAACCACTATCTATCTAGGTTGCAACTCCCGCGGCCTCTTGGTGTTGAAGAAATTCGTTCCCTTCATTTGAAAATGGGCCTTGTACAAGGCCCTATCTTCAACATGGAGCGACCGTTAGTGTGACGTCACCTCGTTTAGTCATTCTGATTTAAATGAGTTTGTTCGTTGAAAAATCGCTTAAAACTTGGTCTGAACTTTGTTGTGGTGCCTACAGAGTAAAAAGAATCAGCTTTATGACAGTAATGTGGCCTGGGGAAGGAGCTAATTTTGGGCTGTGACGTCACATATTTGAAAGTATGTGTTTGGAATATGGGAAGCCTAAGATGTTTAATGAAAAATAAATGCCAGAACCGTGTTCCTGGTCATCCAATCTATAAAGTCGGGCACAATTTAACTGGTTTTAACAACATTTTAGAAGGTGGGATAGTCCCTTTAAGAGGGCAACATTAGGATTCTCAGCTGAAACGTGACGACAGATACAGTGACAGACAAACGTGACGAAGATGGTGCCGACAGTTTCAGTCGTGACCTACCTTGTGTCAGTACGTCCCTGTCCCTGATGTCAATGTATCTTCACTCGGAAGACGGCTTCACAGTCACCCTGCGAAAGGAAACTTAATGTCACTGACAGTTTCATTTGAACGACCCTCTGGACACCTGTGCCCTCCCTCAGCACACAGCCCCCGTTCAACTCTCAATACAGGCGGCTCCTAGGGAAATATACATCAGGCTTCCCACCAGCCGTACTAAATCGACGTGCACGGCTACCAAGGAACCATAAAGGCTGAGCCGCGCCCGCCAGCCCCCTCCCGATCCCCAGACGGCTTATCGTCACCTTCCGTCCGATCCTGTCGGACTGATAGGCGATCAGCCGAGCACCTCCCCCCCCCCCCTGCACGATCGAGAGCTATGAGAGACAAGCCACGCGCAGCCAATTATTACTGTATTTGCAATAATGTGGACAACCACATGCCGAATCACACACAACACACAGCACCAAGCACGTTTAAGTGTTCTACTCTGTAAGACGTAGGCATACATTCGTCGGAGTCCCTGATCTACCATATCCAGTATCCACTCCTCTATACGCCCCTCCCCTAACAGGCCGCAGCTACCTACCAGACCACAGCGATAGCACCGGTCCACCAGCAATTTAGTAATGAACGACTGAGCTATGCCTAAGAGCACCGCAGCTCTAGCACCGCAATGGATCGTGGCAGCTTAGCCGTGAGAAGTCGCCGTGGCAGCTCGATAGCTGTGACAGACCGCGACAGCCGTGGCCGTGGCAGCTCGGCAGGCACTGACAGCAGTGGCAGCCCGTGGCAGCTCGACAGACATTGACAGTGCTGCGGCTCAGCAGCCATGATCACGGCAGCTCGGCAGGCACTGACAGCAGTGGCAGCCCTTGGCAGCTCGGCAGGCATTGACAGTGCAGCGGCTGCGGATCAGACCGGTGGGCCCAGAGGGCACCGCACCCCTTGACGACCGGCAACCTCAGTGACAGGCCGGTCGGACCGCGGTGGGTGACGTCACCCCTCGGTATCGACAGGTTTGACGGGTGCCTGCGGTAGGGGGATATGGAGGGGAGGGCGCCGTGGCCAGCTCCGGTAACCGCCAGACTGATCAGCAGCCAGTTTTGGTGCCGTGAATGGGGAAAAGTTGTTGCTAAGCAAACAAGGTGCTGGCAGCACCTAATCAAGTGATCTAGCCGGCCCCTCTATTAAGACCTTTCCATGGCCCCAACGGCCGACACGCTTGGCCTAATGTATTCACCAAGAATAGACACGAGGCAATTGTAATACAAGGTCACAATAGCATTGTCCTGCAATCTGCATGCTCAGGCCTCAGTGACCGCTGTAATTATCATGATTCGTTTACTTAATTTATTTACTAGTGCTGAGTCACCATACATATAAAAAATTACAGCGCCCAGCCCAGCCAGCCGTTCGTCATGCAATCGAAAGCTTTGTTACCAGCTTAAGGAACTGGCTTCCCAGACACTATCGTCTCTCCTAGAGTCACGTCACATAACGGCTGCCTTTTCACCTCACACGAACAAACAGCCAGAGCTCAACTCAGCTCACCAGCCACGGGTAAAACCACAGAACAGCTGAACGGCTAACTGTTCCCATGACACCGGTAGATTGCATTTTCATCCCTTTCATAACCACGCAGTACCGAAATGAGACCAAGTGAGATCAACAGCTCCGGAATCGGGTCAGTGAAGATGCGAATATCACTGACAGAGCTCCCTGGGCTTGTCACACCCACTGACCCCATACGATATTCACTGCAGCTGCATACTGTGGCGAGCCGAAGACTGACGATTCATACATACATTGACACTTGACAGACATGCAGAGCTATACCGGCGACTCGTTGGGTGACCGTATCGGGTAGACCGCCCAGCCGCAGCCCAAACAGAGCTGCGTCCGAGACTGACGAGGGGACCCGCGATCGGGCCAGTCCCTGTCCTCCGCCGGAGGGATTACATATTTCGTACGGATAATAATAAACAAACGCCGCATCGAGTGCACTTCTCGGGTGTCCTTCAGTCCCGTAACCTAGCATTCTCAGTCTAACTGCTGATTGATGGCGTCAATCTACGCAAGATCGAATAGCTGTGAGGATAGTATACGAATTCCGCAACTCGTAAGCCCGAGATCCTGCTCAGTTCTAGACGAGTAAAGTCCCACGACACACACATCGAACGTTCAAATATGCCTGTCAAAATAATCAAAACCTAGAAATACGACCACAGCAGAGGCGGCGAATAACAGGAATGAGGGCAAACGTAAACGTTACAGCGAAAGGCTCGAGGTTAGAAACTACACTTTCTTGATCTCTTCTGGATAGGTATCCACTGAATGTGGCATCATAATAAATATATGGTTTTACCACATATCAATACGCAATTATTCCACGGATCAACTGCCGGACAGACAGTCACAAGGTGTCCAGCCAGGAAAACGCTGTCACGATCGACGAATGCGAGCTAAAGGCTTCATCCCACATCCAGAAGCACGGTAAACACTGACCGTACTGCCCTGTCCTGAGCCGCCCCAGTTCGCAGCAGAGTCAGCCTGCCGCACCCACCTGGTTATCAATGGTCAGATTCTCCAAAACCACTGCCCCGAGCACCACCACTATATCGCAGATCCCAGCCTGCCACCCGATAGGCCACAGCACAGAGCACCACACCACGGGGAGACCACTGGCGAGACGTCGCACAGACCAGCGGACCGACGCCGCGCCCCTTCTACTCGCAACACCACCGCTCGTCGGCAGACCCGTCACACACACTGGCGTGGCTCCCTCCCCACACCAGCGGACGACGACCGCCGCACAGCCAGCTTCCCGAGCCGGCCGCCAGGGGCGCTAGCGTACGGGGCAGCGTAGTCAGCGATGCTAGCGCCAGTGGTTGACGGTATATAGGGCCTTGGTAGACTCAAGGTAGGCTGATACAGCCACAAAGTAAGAAACTTTGTGGACTCATGCAGACGTGTCTTACAAAGGAGGATAATGGTGGTGTTCACAATGTGTACACTGCAGTGTACACTGTTAGCATGTAAGACATGAAATTTTATTTCGGATAATTACGCATTTCTTACACTAGCAGAAAAATCATACCGTTGTTTGGTCTAACTTTGGGCCGTGTGGGTAACTTTGTTCCACGAGGAAAAAAATGGCTAAATTTTGATAAGCTTAATACCCATGCGCGAGAAATGGCATTTTTGGGCCGGAACCAATGAAGTAGTCAATGATAAACCCAGGGGCACAAAAAATACGTCATCATGTCGATTTTGGATTTTCTAGATTTTTTTTTGGTGAAGCTCCTTTTTTTCACCCAATATTAAGGTTTAGGTAGGTCCCTGTACGGGGCTCAGATGCTACCAGCCGAATCGATTTTTGCAATTTGCCTGAATAGGACATCATGTGAACTTTGCATTCGACTATTGGTAATTTATTTTCCTCAAACATTTTTTTAAAATTTGGGGGTGGTCAATGTTTATACATATTTTTTGCCGTTAATTCAATAACTTTGGGCCACCCGCAGGAAGGGTAAATCCAGGGGTGATTTAAAGTTCCGACACCATATGATGAAGAGGGTCGTCGTGTCGTTCGTTGTGTTCCGTGCCTTTTATTGTGTGTGGTTCGTCGCGTCGTTGGTTATGCGTTAATGTCCCAGCGGGATACGTAAGCGACCTACAGTCATGATGGTGTGCATCATCCCGTGACTATGTTTGTACAATGTACAAGTTTGCTGTTCCTTTTTTAAAAGCCCCTAAGTGGACCAATGTATCCATAATGACCGCTAACATTGATACTTTTGGCTTTTCCATTGTTTCATTGATGCATTTATTCATATGGTACAAAGTTATTTTTGTGCGGGTAACATTGTGCCACTCTAATTTCAAAAAAATAAATTATATGTCATTATCCAAAAAAATTAAGAGTGACTTTAGGTGACCAGCAGGGATGTCACTGCCTTACTGCACAATTTCCTGAACATTTAACAAAATAATTTGGAAGTAATACGAAGAAAAGTCAAAAACTGGTACAAAGTTAGGCCAAACAACGGTACACATGTTTAGAAAGAGAAGAATGCTAACAATAGGCATTACTACTCCAGTCAATACAAAAATTAATACATAAAATGCATACAGATGGAGCAAAGAACAATCAAAACTTCAAAACATTGCACTACTTGGAACATTAACACATCTGCTTTTGAGGAAAGTCATTTTTGTGTTACACAACATGCTAAAACCATTCAGTGTGCTTTACCATCAAAATAAAGCAGAGATGTAGGTGTACATTGTAAAAAATTCAGCATGACATGGAAAATGGCATATTAACCTGGTAAAGGTGGGCAGGGAGCAGCCAACAAGGCAGCATGGATGATAGTGAACTCAGGACAAATAGCAGTCGGTGGGTGGAGCAGCCACAGCCAGCGCAAGTCACTTCAGTGGGGCAGATTGTGTTCAAAGTTGTTGGGCAGCTCAGTTGCACCTAATTGTCCTGAAGCCTGGAAATGTGTGATGGACAGACTACAGGTCATAGGGGCTGACGGCCTGCTGTACACCAGCTCTGCTTAATATCTATCCAATCAAGCTTCAAATGCACAAAATGCTTTGCTGCTAAGACACCACCCACAGGAAAGGTAGGAACTTACTTTAAAATAAACATGGTTATGTCATATCATTATTCATTACACTACAAACAAAAATATTGAAAAGAGCAGTGAGTGAGATGGCCTGTTAACCTATGGTCAAAATGGCTGTCAAAAATATGTAAAGCATTACAGATCATGGCAGCGGTAGCCACGGTGAGGGTACCTGCCAAAGATGGGGAAGCAGATAAGAAGAACGTGGACAATATCCAAACTTTGCACACTTCTTTGCAGAAACCTTATCAAAAGGTTAACTTGGCAAGCCAATTGAAGTCCTGCCCATGTAAATAGCCTCACAAGGACAACATTCTTAAATTCAAATAATGTCTTTTATCCTTATGACAGGCAAACATCTAACTCTTGAGCTGAATCCCAACACATCCCAATCCCAATCCCAAAACGAATACCTTCACAAGAAGTCGTTAAATACGCAATCTCATCTGGTCAGAATCATACAATGAACTGTCAGAATAACAAATTTCATTAAAATCTAGAAGAAATAGGCAAAGGGTGTACAACTACGGGATAGGAAGCGTCTATTGAAGATAGCTTTAAAGGAAATAGTTCACTTTCACGAAATTATATTTTTTGCAATGGATTTATGATTTTTTATGTTCAAAATGATCAGCAAAGAAAATAAAACCTTTTTATAACAAAATATTATTTTCTATATTTTTGATATAGGAAGAACTTTTCAGTTTCTGTAAGGCACACGCGATTCAGTATGAAAAGAGCATGGGTCCCGAAAATTCTTCAGAAGCTATAGAGAAATTATCGCGGCCACCGGCATTTGGGCGATCTGCTCATGCTTTTGTTACTGGAGCGCCTCTGAAGAATTTTCTGAATAATTTTCTTTTGTTACTGGAGCGTTTCTGAAGAATTTTCAGGACCCATGCTCGTTTCATACTGGATGCAAATATATGCAAGGCACACAACCTCAACGCAAGGCACCTTTTTCGGGACGAGAAATAGAATATCTTTGCCTAGGGTGATCGTTGGGCTGTAAAAGCTCCTGATTTATGCTCGTCTCAGCCCAAGCTACGGAACTGCTATTCCAGTTAAAAACCCATGTTAAAATGTGAACTATTTCCTTTAATTCTTAAATAATTCATAGAAATTGCAAAACAAAATGACTTACAAGTTACACATTATCATAAGCTATGGAAAAATCAAATGTTTAAATACCTTTGAAACGGCCGATGACGATGCGTGGAGAAATGATAATTAAAACTTCGTCAAAAAATAAATAGTTTATAAAATAACAGATATTCCGAAGATCAGTTGCTACCACAATGGATGTCGTCGTCGGACGCCGCCGCATATTTACGTCTGGACAACGAGTTGCGGGGAAAAGTGCTGATTGTGTTGCAGTTTTAGGAGCCGGTTATTAGGCTGGATTTTTGGGTTACTTTTTCGTTCCGATTCATGTATTTCATAGTGTTTGGCTTTTGAATATTTTAGTTCTTTCAGATAAATATTACTTGCCTTACAACTTTTGTAAAAACGTTTCATTTTTTTTATAAGCCGACGTTCAGAGTCCTAAAAATAAATCAGCACTACAATCATTGTAAACAAACAAATGGAGCACCACTTGGCTCTGTTCCAAGGCCATTTTGTAGTTTATCTGGTGGTTTTCTTGCTCTTGTACGTCGTTTTGTTGGATGTTTTGAATCCCTTAAGATTGACTTATATCATATTTAAGAAGCATGTTGACTGAAAACAATCTGAAGTATCCAGGAGGCTGACAGAGGTCCTGACTACTGAGCAATATCAATATCAAGTTGAACAAGTTATGAAATTTTGGTTGATAAACGCAAGTTGATCGGGCTCATATATCAGCAAGAAAAAGTAAAATTAAAGAGCTTATTGTCCAAAAACAAGCTATAATATTGCAGACCTTGGACTTGGAGCAATACTGAAGAGCACGCTGAGCAGGATCATGCCAGAAAATGTTGACTGATGAGCGCATATTGATGTATTGGTATGAATATTGAATGATAACTTACAACAGCAAAATAAATTAGTGCTAACTATCAAGTTAAAATCTAGAATGAATGGACTTGGGCAGTTTTACTATGCTTAGATGCTATGCAGATTGTAATGTGCATCAGGTACTCAGTGTCTGGCAAATGAAACATGCGATCATTCCATTGCTACTGGAGGAGAAAGCTTGGATCACTAAATCCACTTTATGTTGATTTTGATGTTAATCATCATCACTGTATTTCTTGAAAAAAGGATTGTAGTAAAATTGTCAATTTGTGACAATCCATGCAACGATGTGATCATATTATGTGTTCATAGTCATTCGTGATAGTAATTATTGGTCCAATATACAATGGCAAAGCTCTCAGTCTCAGCGTTTCTTCCTGTGGATGGCCAGCAGTGACTCAGAGCTTAGAAGTATTAGTTTTCTTCACAGGGCTGGGATAAAAAGTACTGAGGGTAATCTTCCACCAAGGAACTCTACTTTGACATGGTATGAGATGTAGGCACAAGTAGGTAGGTGCTCAGTTCCTATAGCCAGTAGTTGTGTATGTTTAGTCGGGTTAGCTTAGATCAGATTGTTAGTTTTTTAATTTGCCAAATGTCCATAAAAATGTGACCTGAGCAATGAGCATACCTGAACCTGACTAACCTGACAGCTGACCTAACCTCAATCATCACACATATTTGCAGCCTACCCAGTACCCAAGACCTGCATGGCAGTAGCACCCAGTTATAGGTAGGTACTCACCCTAACTCAATCTTACCTGCTAACCTTCAACTTGCCAAAAGTTAGCTCACATTGCCAAGCTGTGTCCAGGGAAACAGTCAACTGAGGAACTGGCTCATTGGGTGGCTGGTGTGAGTCTGTGCATTTAAAGTGTTTCTTCTCTGAAGCTGCTCTGCACTGCTGTATGTCATGTTAGATGCTCAGAAAATGTGGGAAATGATTACTTAGCTACTTAAGTGCTTTGTTAATGTTCGAGACATGAACAAGTACAGATCCTGCAGGGTACAGCTATGAGTTAGGTGCTAGGTGTAAGGTGAGTATGTTATGTGAATGTGCTGTTCCCTGTTTGACTGTAAGTATACAAACAAGCACAGGGTCACAGTTATATTCAATCTCCACATAAACATACAACAAAAACGGCCATATAGCCTAACTCCGAACACACCACAGATAACTTAAGCCTTTGAAGGCACAAAAATGTTTTGATTAACAGGACAGGTTTACAATATATCCTCTGTCCTTGGGGGATCTTGCTGCCAAGTTGAGGTATGATGACTGAACTTCAGGATTGATCAACCTTTTCTTAGCCACTGCTTATATACGAGAAAGACCAAATGCTTGTTTGTTTTGATTTACAGGACATGTATACAATATATCCTCTGTCCTTGGGGGATCTTGCTGCCAAGTTGAGGTACGATGACTGAACTTCAGGATTGATCAACCTTTTCTTAGCCACTGCTTATAAACGAGAAAGACCAAATGCTTGTTTGTAAACTGCGTTGAAAATTTAATGATCCACCTTCAATTCTGACAAGAAGGCACAAATGAAATAGTTCCCTCTCCTTTTGGAATACACTAGGCAAAATATTTAATAAATTTTAGTGGATGGACAAGAGCAATTAGCATAGCTTTCCCTCAAGTTAACTAATAACTTCTGGCACTGTTGATGAATTACACTGACGCTTATTCGCTTCATATTTTGTAACAAACGCGCTAAAACTGCAATATAACAGCACTATATGCTTCTTGACAAAATGCAATAGTATTAAAAATTTAGCCCTGATGGCATTCATTCTTGGTGGACACGTAATTACAAAATATTTTGTAGTAACTATTAAATTCCGGCCGAAAACAGTGCACGGTTTAAAAAAGAATCATTCCAATGACGGTCCATTCTTCCGGTCCTGAAATCGCCACTATTTCCGGCCTCTCCAACGCAACTCGTTGTCCAGACGTAAATATGCGACGCGCATACGTAAATATGCGACGCCGCCACTCCCATCGTCAAGGATCAGAAAAAACTGATGTTCAAAAATAATATTTTACATAGAATAAAAGTTTTGAAGTTTGATACCTAAAATTTAAACAAAATAATTACGAATATTAAATTTTCACATAGAAATAGTCATAAAAAAGACAAACTCGGCACAAAACTGAATTAAATAGCTCTTTATTTAAACTTTACGTCATCAAAAGTGGTATCCATAGCAACAATTCATTTTCATGGGCTGTAAGTGACGCAGATGAGACAAAACATTACGAGTTACAAAAACAGAGATAACTAAAGGCATACGGTAAATACTATTTTGTGAATTAATTGCGATTTATCACCGAGAACTGTAAATTATTAAGCGAGATGTGTACCAGTGTGGACTGTGGGTGCAAGGTTTGTTGCTCGGATTATTGTGGAGTGTAACGACGGCGTGTAAACGCACCGACATCAACTCCACCTGTTCCATAAAATCAAAATGTAAGTACCTAACTGCGGGATTATACTATCATCGCTATCATCGATAAAGATTGCCTAATTGTTGCTGTTCTGTTTCTCGCCTAAGGGCTGCTTGTGTCTCTGCTCGACTCAGACCATTACAGGAGCAGAGCCTGAAACACTCATCCTCCGGCCTCAGCCTCCCGTGCAAGAGGCTGGACGCGGCCCACTTGCTTTTGCCCAACTCGAACTTCCGCAGAGGGTCGCGCTGGACGCCCGCACGGGTACGAGTAAATAGGTTCCACCTTTAGTGCCCTGGTTCCACCGAGTGGCAGCCAGAGGTGCGCGGGTAGGTATGTACCGTCGACTGTTGCTGTAAGGTGGCCCAAGGTCGATACCTCATGGACCTCCGCTCCCTCCGGCAGCGATGGCCGGGCTCCCGGCAGTCCGGTGCCTATCCGCTGTGAGTCTGTGTCGGCCACTGGTTAACCTGCTGATCGAGCGTGACTCTAGCAGGCAGTGCCAGCAATGCGGCAGCTTGGAGCACCTATCCACCTTCATCGCGGCGCACTTCGCGGCGCTAGATTAGAACCGGCATCAGCTGTTGTTGTGGGACGTCGCCGCGACGGCGTGTTAGCGGTCGCGGGCGCAGCTGGGTCCTCACAAGGAGCCGTACGGCTATGCCCGGCTACTGCCGCGTTGAGTTGGAGGGATAGCAACAAGGCCATATAACCAGGTATGGTCATCAGGCTTTTTTTTACCGTCCCCCTACCGGGCCCGAATGACGTCACTGGGATGGTAACTCGCCGGCCGCCGTCCGTAGCCATTATGGAGGACGGACGTTTAAATACGTTTTCAGCGGATTTTAGTGCAGTTTTGATGTCCGATGCAAGGCAGAACGGTGTGATGTTTCCTCAGTGAAGCAAATCAGGACCAGCTGTTACTCGAACCAAAGATTTGGCGACATTATTGGGATCGGACCGAGCCAACGTGCGCCCCGCCGGTGATCCGGCCAGCACATCGGCGGCTCTCTCGTAGATGAAAATCGCCATAGTTTTGCGCCAGGCTTCGGAGTCAATGGATTTCTGGTGACTCTGACTCCAACCGCGACTTCCAAAAACCAACTCCGACTCCGACTCCGGGCTGGGTAATCAACTCCGACCGACTCTAACTCCGACTCCGCAGCCCTGCCAGATCTGCGGAGCGGCCAGGGCTGCGGAGTCGGAGTCGGAGTCGGTCGGAGTCGACAGTTGTGACCGGAGTCGGAGTCGACTTTAGAAACCCGAGCCGGAGTCGGAGTCGGAGTCACCGAAAATATGTCGACTCCGCAGCCCTGCTAGGTCTGCGGAGTCGGAGTCGGGAGTTGGAGTCAGTCGGAGTCGACAATTCTGCCCGGAGTCGGAGCCGGAGCTGGTTTTCGGAGTCGCCGGAGTCGGAGTCGGAGTCGCCGAAAATCTATCGACTCCGCAGCCCTGGCGGAGCCGATGGATTTTCGGTGACCCCGACTCCGACTCGGTTTCCAAAATCGACTCCGAGTCCGGTCAGAACTGTCGACCCTGACTCCGACTCCGCAGCCCTGGTTTTGCGTCTATTTCGCCCCATAATTAAGAGAGGTGTGAACTGCACAAACCGAAATTGTACCGTAACACAAGTATATGTACACATTCCAAACTTCTGACTGGAACGAACCAAATGCGTACACAATATACCGGTTTATGTCATACCATAAATCGTAGTTATAAAAAACCATATTGGACAGATTGGTAGAGGACAAATAAGGCACAAGCCTCTTGCGACTTGAGTAGGTACAATAAAATGCTCCGAACTGTCGGAAAGTTGTACAAGATGTCGCCTCTCCAAACACAATGTGCCGATTGACTCCGCGACAGCCAGGAACCGGGCAACATAACACGTGAAACAGAGCGGTGGCACCTCAGCACAAGCTCCCCAAGCTCGTCAAGGCGGCGAGAAAGGTCCGGCAAGTCGGTAACAGGTTCACCACGGCAGCGACAGGTCAGGCAGGTCGGCAGCAGATTCACCAGGGCGGTGGCAGGTGCGACAGGTCGGCAGCAGGTTTACCAGGGCGGCGACAGATCCGGCAGGGCGACGGCAGTTTCACCAGGGCGGAAGCGTAGACGCGGCGGCAGGTCCGCCGGGGTGGCTGCAGGTCCAGGGCGGCCGCAGGCTCACCAGGGCGGCGACAGGTTCGGCAGGGCGACGGCAGTTTCACCAGGGCGGCAGCGTAGACAAGGCGGCAAGTCCCAGGGCGGCTCAGGCTCACCAGGGCGGCGACAGGTCCGGCAGGTCGTCGGCAGGTCGGCCTCAGCAGCAGGCAGTCAGCACTAGCAGATTCTCGGGGCAGCCCTGGCTGAGGTGGGATGTCATCAGAAACTGCACGTCTGGGTGCCGGTGTCGGATGTCGTACAGACCACGCAGCGAGGCTTTACTGCGCAGCACGCCCTGCTGGCAGCGCAGGAGTGTCGGCAGCCCAGCGGGTGCTTTCGGGTCGCCTTCCTCAAATTCCTTTCGGAAACTGGCGCTCGCCACTCAGGGAGTCGGGCGACGTCTCCAAAGCTGGGAGACAGATGCTGAAGTCGATATGATGTGATTTTATGCCCTCAGCTCGGTGCCAGTCATTGTGTTGTTATGTGCAGGTAGCCACTCCTCGCCGTCCTGCACGCCAGAGGACCAGCCCCGGACCTGCAAAACACATTACCAAGTTTATTAACACAATGCAACATGAAAAAATTCACTAAGCGATGGCAAGCAAAATAATCACATCAATGCCCAAAGGTGCCTTTTCTTCGATTGCCTTTTCTATGTGCTGATATGAAGCCTCAAAACATGTACCATTTTATATTATGTATTGATTGCAGGCCTGACTCAGAATCCAGTTGAAACAAGCAAATAACACAATTTTTCATTATTATTTTGAATTTGGGTCTGGCATTACTGTTCCATGCACAGGTGCGTCTGCGTATAAAATCATATGAAGCAAATGCATTAGGTAAATAGTCTCAACAAATAGAAATTAGTAGTAGCACAGGTGGTATAAATAGAAACCAATATATAGACATTAGACAAGGATGAGCTTGTTTAGTTAACAAATGTCAATGACATAACATTTACATAAACAAGAATGGGATTTTCAGTAATAAGCATGTCAGAAATCCTTTTAAATTCAATTTTGAAAGTTTAGATACAGATTATAAAATCTGGCAACAACTAATATTGAAAAGAAGTAACAATGAGCTTCAACTTTGCACAAAAGATGTGCCAAAATTTTGGTGAGAAATCACTTGCGCTGAATTTTGAGACCCGAAAGCCCCTGGGCCCTGACGCATCTGACAGTGAGTGAATTTTTTCCAGTCTGGGAGGTAAGCATAGATTGATTTGTTATTTGATACTATTTAATTTGACAAATAAGTTGTTATTTTCACAAAGCATTAAGATTTATAGAAGCTAACCACTTCCGATCCGAAACAATTTACAACTATTCCATCTCCATTCTCCTTCTCATTATGTTTTAAACAATGCTAAGGTATTTTACAACTTAATATGAGATTATCATGCTCCCTTTGAAAGCCAAAAATGACAAAAAAGGTTAAACCGGGTTGAACTGAAACGTGGCTGATCTGCCTATGATACTCATGCTTATACAGTTGAATTAATTGAATACCTGAGCTGAACTGCTGAAGCTGGTCATTCTTCGTGATCTCTGAGACGACAAGTGTGTGAATGCCACTTATGTATATGCTTTTCCGATCTTCAAACACATAAAAAGTGATATTATTATCAAATAAACAATATTCAAACTCCGTATAACAATACACGCAACGGCTGGAAAACACTGCGCCGGTGCGCCAGAATTGACAGCATCGCCTGAATCTCAGCGACCAATCAGCTTTCGACCATCCCAGTGACGTCACATTGGCAGCATTTGGTAGCAATTTTCCTCCTATGGCCCGGTAAAGGGACGGACCCCCCCTGGATAGCAACGACAGCAGCCTCCGTGGCTCGGTTGGTAAATGTACTCGTAGAACCGCTAATGATTGTCAATACCTTCCATTGCGGTCTAATGGAGATAGTAGGTACCCATTACCAATGCCTAATGAGGGCGTTAACTGTGGATTATTTGAAATAGACAAACACTAATTATTGGAATTGTATTTTTCAATTATTAATCGGCCTGATACTGTTGGGCGCCGATCACCCCACTTCCGTCGGCGTCCAGTGACATGTATCTCATATCTGGCACGTTGTAACTACCGACTGCCAAGACGGCCCTACCGAGCTTGGCCGGGTAGTGGCTTTACTCTGACAGTTGTGTCGGTCAGAGCCGGCAGGGCTGGCCGTGCAGTAACATACCGCTAGCAATGGGGGGGGGGGGGGATCGGAAGAGCATTTCAGCATCGACATCTTAAACGCGTTTTGGCTGAGGCTTTCCATGCGAATCACGCGGCATCCATCCATGCGTTCATTCTGTGTACACGTAACCTGAAATTTCTATATCAATATCGAAGCCTTAGCCCGTTTAGGTGCCAGGCCCGAAAAGGGTCGTAACAAAGTACCTAATACGGCTCCAATTGCTCGTTCTGTGCCGTCGAAGGTTCAAGAATGGCCAACGCCAGCGAGTGCGAAGTGGTCTCAAAAATTGTTTCCACATCAGTTTGGGTCCGTGGCTCCGGTTTGGAGCCAACCGTTTTTCTTTCTGTTGTATTTCGAACACTTCTACGAATTTTTACGAATAGCCTTTCTCTGCACCCTGTTTAATTAAGCATCTCTTCTTTTCATATTGCAACCAATCCATCAAGAGGATCAAAGTACGTCAGTCTGGAATAATGGATTCGGCCGGGATATAGTGTCTGTGGGCTGCATCGCGTCATCTGCTGCTCAATTGATCAATCGCCATGTCGAACAAGTAAGTGCACAATCCGCTTATCCGCATTCCGCACACCATTTGATAAATTGCGCACGCTCGTCCGAACACTGGTTCGTTGACGTACTTACACACATACACTGGCGAAGACGATGCATTAGCGGTGTCCATTGTCGTCAATTTTCCCGTCACCGTAGTCGAGTCGAAATCGTGGAGCGTTTTCTGAAAGTCAACATGTTGGGATGTGTGCCGAGTGTATATGCTTGCATACCTTCGTGTCTAAATTCCACGCCCGGTATTCTCGTGCCCATGCCTGTCCCCGACCAACGGTAACGATATCCAGCACCCGCACTTGAGCTGGTTCCCAGCTGGGAATGTTGCCGTACCCACTGCTGTGCCCCTCACCTAACCCCGCTCCGCGCCGCCCGTCAGGCTGTGTATGGAGCTGTGGAGCGAGCCACTGCAGTTCTCCTGACCTGACCTCACCCCGCTCCGCGCCGCCCGTCAGGCTGTGTAAGCATGGAGCTGTGGACCGAGCCACTTCTCTTCCCCTGACCTGACCTCACCCCGCGCCGCCCGTCAGGCTGTGTATGTATGGAGCTGTGGACCGAGCCACTTCTCTTCCCCTGACCTGACCTCACCCCGCGCCGCCCGCCAGGCTGTGTATGGAGCTGTGGAGCGAGGTCCAGGACCACCTGGACGATATAGTCTCCAAGGAGGTGGCCGCCGCCGGCGCCAAGCCCGAACACGTGAGCATAACTGGCCACTGCACTGGGAAGCACGGAGGGCGGGACGACTGTGACTGGCCACTGGGGCTGGCCAGGGATCAGAGGACTGGGAAGGCCTGTGAGATAAACTGTGGGGACTCGGGCGATCTTGGAAAGGTTGGTGGGGGAGGGGCTAGATACCTTGTCTTTCACTGGAGCCGACCGCCGTCGTGAGCGTTGAGGGACCTAACTTGTGCTACAAAGCTAGCACCCTTAAAATAATCTATCGAGATTCGACTATGATATTGGACACTACGCGCAGATGACAGGCTTGGGAACATCCTGTATTTTTTTTTTAACAATCAGCTGTATCAATCACATTATCCTCACGCTCCTGAAATCCTTGACCACCGATGCGGCCGGATAAGTCCCATCATCCACTCCCTCCCCCCTCACCGCCCCTACAGAACAAGGCTCTGGCGCTGGAGGGGCTGCTGGGCCTGTACCTGCGTCACCTGCGGCTGCTGGGCGGCCTGGCGCGCTGCTACGACCAGACGGTGCACCCACAGAAGCGGCTGGTGCTCCGGCGCAGTCTGGACGCCGTCATGGGACGGCTGGTCGAGCTCAAGGTGGGACACTGGCACTGGGATTCTGTGATAAATCCTTCCAGCAAAGCGTTTTCACCGATGTATTATCGTAGCAGTAGAGCGGATGCTTTCCATTGAAGGTTTAAAGGATAAGGTAAGCATTCTGTAGGACGGCGTAATACAATTTCAATTCAATGACTGATCGGTTAAAATATAACGATCTAATCGATTCGTTTGAAACATTTTGTTACAATTTTTTCACGTATGTGTTTTTAATTGATATAATACATTCTACAACAAAAATCATGTCCTGAATCGTGTGTCGCAGCTGGAGCTGGCAAACCTGGAGCTGATGGAGTTTCACTTTTTCGACGACCTGCAAGTGGACTTTAAGTTGCTGCCGCACGACGCCGAGATGCCGATAGCGCCCTATTTCCGCCTGGAGCGGAAGGACACTCTGGCCGGCGTCAACGAGATCATTGGTGACGCGCTGCGGAAGCTGGGCGCCATCCAGTCCGAGGTAGGTGCCTACTAGGCGCGGGTACGGGCTCACTGAGGGAACTGGGTGCTATCCCGTCGCAGGTAGGTGCCGATTGGGCTTGGCGAGGTCCACCGTTGACACAGGTGGGGAAGCTGGGAGTGGATCACGACGGCTCCGCTGACACGGGCGAGGAGCTAAGACACGGGGTCGCTGTCAGACACCAGTAAAGAAGCTAAAATACGAGGCTGCGGTCCGACACGGGTGAAGAAGTTGGGACAAGGGCCGACGCCTGGCACGACTTAGGGAGCTGGGTCACGGGCGCTCCACTGACACGGGTAAAGAAGCTGAGACACGGGGCCGCCGTGCCACTCAGTGAGGAAGTTGAAAGTCATCCGCCGTCCAGTCGGAGGTAGTGAGGTGCCGACCGAGTACGGGCCGCCGCTGACACGGCGCCGACTGCGACAGTACATAATGCATACACGTATATCGGCGGGAAACCCAAGAAGACGGAAGGAATCATTGGTGTACCTATGCAGTATGCATACCTATGCTTAGTCTGTGCAGGGGCAGATTGGCTTGTGGACTGCGCTGATCGGCGACCTATCGGGAAATAACCAATAGTGATATTCGCGGCTGCCTTCGTTTGTTGAAGCTTGTTTGTTTTGTTGGGTTAGGCCCTTTCGGTCTGACGAGACCATTTCAGAGCCGGAAGGATGATAGGAATTAGGGGGAGACATTGGTCTGGGCAGGCACCCTAGTGAGTCGCCGGGGCTGAGCCCGTCCAGAGGACAGGCCACCCAGCCCCAAGGCACTCACTGCACCCGGCCACGGGGTGTGCACGGTTCGTCGGAAAGTCACTTCATCCACAAAAGAAACGAAATATACCATTCGAAAGCCGACGGTGAGCTGATTCCAAAAAAGTGTTTTTTACCGAAATCGTTCGATGGCCTTTTTCAAAAATTGCGTTTTTTGTAAAAACGTGATAATTTTTTATTCAACGAGCTGTCCAGGACATTCTTAAAACCATGGGCATGTTTTTTTCGTTTTCCAGTGAAAGCTGAATGCCAAAAGAACAATATGTAGCGAAAAAATATTCTCAAATATTAATACGCGTCTCTCACAGCCGGCAACAAGGCGCAATCACACAACTCAGTGTCATGATGGATCAAAGTAAGCCACACCAAAGCGTGAAATGGCCCTTATCGACGCGCAGACCCGGCGCTAGGCCCGTCTGACCGGCCACGGAAGAGACGTTCGGCTGTCGCCTTGCGAAACGGACGTCATATTTGTTAGTTTACGATTCAAGTCGGTACCCAAGTTGTTCAGGATACCTGAGAGGAAGATGCATTGCTCTGTCATTTTTACATCATGTATGAATTTGCATTTGTTTATGTCTACTTTGCTCAAATCAGCTAGGCATCAGGAAAGCTGACCGCGCTGAGCTGTCAGAGCTTGTACCGGCCTCAGCTGGGCTGGAGTGGGGTTAGCGCTCGGCGGGGCGGGGCAAGCTTTTGACCGGTCGCAGGGCCGAACAGCTGTCACTGGTACAGCCTCTGACAGTGAAACCCCGCTAACTTTCCCGGCGCGGGCATTGAGCGCAGCGGGACGGAGCAAAACCTGCATAAGTAAATGTAAATTAAAGCATGTTGTAAATCTAGCAGAACAATGAACTGTCTTCACAGGTATCCTGAATAACTTTGATAGCGATATGGATCGTCAAACAATATCGCCGTCAAACAAACAAATATAACACTTGTTAAGCAGGACGAGACTCGAACGTTTCTTCCGTGGCCAGTCAAACGGGCCTAGCGCCGGGTCTGCGAGTCGATAAGGGCCATTTCACGCTTCTGTGTAGCTGAGCTTGATCCATCGTGACGCTCAGTTGTGTGATTGCGCCTTGTTACCGGCTGTGAGAGGCGCATATTAACATTTGAGAATGTTTTATTGCTGGATCTTGTTCCTTTGGTATTCAGCTTTCACTGGAAAACGAAAAAACATGCATATGATTTCAAGACTGTCCTGGACAGCTCGTTGAATAAAAAATTATTACGTTTTTACAAAAACGCAATTTTTGAAAAAGGCCATTGAACGATTTCGATGAAAAATACATTTTTGGAATCAGCTCACCGTCAGCTTTCGAAAGGTATATTTCGTTTCTTTTGTGGATGAAATGAGTTTCCGACGAACCGTGTGTGCTCCTCCCTCAGGAGCAGCGGTACCGCTCCAAGGGAGCAGCCCGCATGAGATAAAGTTGCCTGTCCAGCCCGGAGGGGGGTTGCGGCGTGGAGGAGAATGATTTCAGTATCCTGAGGATAGAAGCACGGAACGGTCATGTTGAAGCTTAGCAGCAACCATTTTACAGTGCAGTAAAGTGCAGTAAAGTGCATCCATTATTGTAGGGTTTATCCTTTATCGACGTAATTTGCAGCACGCGGCACAGTGCACCGTCAGGGGCTCAAGTCAATACTGCCTAGTGAGAGAATGAAAACTTTGCGGCACAGTATAAATTCAGGCGCTACATCATACTGCCATCTAGCGACGAAATTGTAACCATCCGGCACAGTATAACTTCGGGCGCTGTAAGCTGCTGCCACCTAGTGGCAGAACTATAACCATGCGGCACAGTATAACTTCAGGCGTTACATTATGCTGCCATCTAGCGGCAGAACTATAGACATGCGGCACAGCATAACTTGAGGCGCTACGTCATGCTGTCATCTAGTGACAGACTGTAACCTTGCGGCGCAGTATAACTTCAGGCACCACATCATACTGCTCTCTAGCGGCGGATTTGTAACCATGCGTCGCAACAGAAATTCAGGCGCTGTGGAGCCGTGGACTACTGCCATCTAGTGGCGGAAGAAGCCATGCGGCACGGTATAATTTCAGGCGCTACATCCTATTGCCATCCTGCGGGAGAACTTTTTTTGCTAAGGTTTTTTGCGTTTCTCTGCGTGCGTTTTTTGAGAGTTTGCGTGTTTTGTGTAATATCGTTCTTGAAAAAAGGTTATGATTTATGTAACTTAATATGAGTTATATCATAGACCACTATATATCGTATATAGTGTGGTATATAGTGGTCTATGGTTATATATAAAAGTTAATAAAACTTATAATTAGATAAATAAAAGAAGTTGACCTTTTCCTCGACATCAAAAATGTAAAAAGCCGAATAATATATTTTAAAAAAACGGTGAGCTTTCGGCCACTGGCCTTTATCAAACCAACGTGATAACGTTGGTTTGATCAAACCAAGTTATCACGTTGGTTTGATAACTTGATAACTTGGTAACTTGGTAACTTTGATAACTTGGTTTGATAACATCAGTTATCAAACCAAGTTATCACGTTGGTTTGATAAAGGCCAGTGGCCGAAAGCTCACCGTTTTTTTAAAATATATTATTCGGCTTTTTACATTTTTGATGTCGAGGAAAAGGTCAACTTCTTTTATTTATCTAATTATATTCAATATGTTCCTCGCTCGAGCACTTAGTAATATTAATAAAACTTATATTAACTAGAATTTGATATAAAACATCACATAAACGTAGTATTGTTTTTCTAGAACGATAAATTACGCAAAACACGCAAACTCACAAAAAACGCACGCAGAAAACGGATAGTGTAGCCACGGATGACATAATGTCACATAATGTGACATTATGTGACATTATGTGATCCGTGGTGTAGCCAGGCCTTTAGGCTCTTTCCGTTATAACGAGACTATTTCAGAGCCGGAAGGATGATAAGACTTCTTGGGGGTCGAACGGACCCCTCGGTTCTTCGCGGATAAATTGCGCAAAAAGGGGCAGATAGCGACGAAACTTTCAGTACCCTCGCGAATTTTACACCTACCCTGAAAATTTCATGACCCTGACCCAAATGACTTCTGACCTGTGACCTCCTTTTCGTGACCAATTGACCATGTTTGGCCGGAATCGTGATTCGGCATATGTCGGCTCGCATTAACCGCGCGTTTGCAGTCTTTTCGTGTTTTGAAGCGTTCAAACATGTGATATGATGCTGGTCCCATGCACTAGGGTCAGGGCACCTGAAGGTCAGGTCAGGTCATTGACCTTTGATGACCGCGATATATACCTTCCCTAATATATAACATGTTTTTAGTTACTTGAAGAGTTTGTCATCCCAAATATTTCAAGCTTTGTCGTTTTTATTTTCCTGTAAAGTTGCTATTGTGGTTTCTAAATGACTTAAAATTGCAATGACCTTGACCCTGGGAATCCAAATGATCTCGTCAGTCGGCACATCAGTCTCTGAACACCGAAGGCGTTATTTTCACATTGAAATGCAATTGTAATTTTGATGTTCACATCATTTAACATTATTTCGTAGAATTATGTATTAATAATTGTATAAAGCAGCCCCACGTTTTTCTTTAGCTTTGTAGCGCGGGGGACTGAACAGGGGTGCGGTGGAGTGGGGGTGGTGTTGTTTTCCGGGGGGAGGACTTTCCTGGTGGTTCTGTTAGCAGTGGGTTAGTTCGTTGCCAATGTGAAGCGCTGGAATTGTGCTGTTGGAGACTGGAAGTGTGTGCGTAAGTAAAGTTGATTTCTGGAAGCCCACCCGGCATACAAATGCATCTGATGGGAGATGCTTTCATTTTGAGGCTTGATCATCATCACATTGTATAGACGTCGACTCAGTAACTTCACTGCTCGGGCAGGAAGGACAGGCTCCAACCCGTGGGTAATCGACACAGTGAGAGAAGGGCCGGATAAGGCAGTTGGGGTCTTAATGATCACTGCCAAGCCATTCGTTGGCATTTAACTTTATTTGCTGGATGGTCATTTGTCCAGTCACCAATTCATCATCACTGGTCTACTCTACCCTTTCCAAATTTGCCCACTTATATCGTATTAGCGTAGCTGAATTTAAGTGCCCTCGAGGATCATTGGCGTGACTGTCCTAACCGAGCTGCACTTAACTCCTATCGGCCTTAATCTAAGATTCATTCTTTTATCATACGCACTCACATTCTTACATACAAGCGCTCTTCATTTATTCACCAAAATTTTAT